CCGCCGCCGCCGCCGCCGCCGGACAGCCGCTGCCGGACAGCGCCGGAGGATGCAACGCAGAGCAGGTCACTGGGGCCGCCGGCCAACCGCCGCGGGAACTAACCGCTGGCCGGGGAAAGGGAGGCCGGGCCGGGAGGCCGGACGATCGAGGCCCGAGGGGTTGAGGGGGCGGCCCGGGGCGGGGGCCGAGGGCCGCCCGGCGCGGCCAGGACGGGGGAGGACGCGCGGCCCGAGGCGAGGGTGGAGGATCGGGCGGCCGGGGGGACGCGGCCTGAAGCGCCGGGCGGGCGCGCACGGCCGGCGACGGCTAACGGGGCGGCGGGCGCGCGGCCATGTTGGGCCCGCTGGCCGGGGCTGCACCTGTGCCGGGCCGGCGGGCGGCCGCCTTTGTTCCCGCGGCGCCGGGCGGGCCGAGCCGGCCTTTGTGCGGCGCGGGGCCGGGTGGCGCGGTGGGAGGGGCGGCCGGGTGGCCGGGGAGGCACTTTTTGTGTGCGGAAGCGTCCGGCGTTGACACTCGGGGCGCCGGCCGTTGGTCAGCGCGGCGCCGCGCCCGCCGGCCCTTGCGGGGCCTCGCAGGTGGAGACGAGGCTGGCTGGACCCGCGGACCCGCCCGGGGCTGTGGCCGCGCCTCACGGGGCGCGCTCCCTCGCTCGGGATGCGGCTCGCAGCCTAGGAGGCGCAGGGCGCGGCGAGCCGGACCCGTGGCGACCGAGCGCCTGATGACTGCCTTGGTTTTAAATCTCGGCATTTAAAAGATGTTTGGTTTGAGTTTCGGTGAGAAGAAAATGGATGAGGTTATCGCATAGGACCCGTTGCAACACTGAGCTTTTCTCCCTCCTCAGCTCAGGACGAGGTTTGACATTGACGACGAAACGGTATGAAATCGGATGTTCTGACTGGAATCATTTCCAGGTAGATAATTGTGTGTGTGTGTGTGTGTGTGTATGTGTGTGTGTGTGTGTGTGTGTGTGTGTGTGATAACGGACCCCGTAAAGAGACCAGTTCGATACCGAGGGAGTTGAGAATTATGTTAGAGAAGTTCCCAAGTATTGCCTGTCTAATCACAGACTTTGAAGGCCTTGACTTTTAAAGGAATTAAATTCCAAGATCATGCATTGATTAAATTAGTTATGTTTTATGTGTTTGAAATAAGGTCATCACCATAGAAAATAAGTTAGGAAGCATCTCACTTAGGAAGCTGAGACTTTTAATTGCCCCATTTCCCAGTTCCGGTTACATATTTAAGTCGATGATACATGTACATACATACTCACAAATACAAAGAGCACGGGGACAGCAAGTCCTGTAAACGCAGTTCTTTTCTGTGTGTTTTCTCATTCTTCAGGACCCAGAGTTCAAATCATAACTGCCGTCTAGAGATGAAGAGGGTTCACGCCTTATGCACTCGATTATTTTGAGTCATTTCCTTTTCTTTCCTTCCATTTTCTTCTCTGCCCAGCAGCCTTCATTTTTGGCTTGATGACTCTTAGTATGTGGACTTACTATTTGTGAATTTGTGTAAGCTTTTGTGAATAACTCCTACATACTCAGAATAAAAGCCCTCCCCTTTCTGGACTCTAATTTTAAGGGACAGTATTCCAGTTTTAATAGTATTTATATAGTTAACTTCATGAATTAAAAAAAATGGACAATTCTTCTGTGTGTGTAGATGTGATATGTTCATTGTAATGTTATAAACTCTCATAATTTGAAGTTTGTGGAGACATACAGAGAAAAACAGACTGCAAGTGAGATTACTAGGTTATTTTTGTGCAGCCAAGCTATACAGGGCTGTTAAGCCATTGCCTGTAGAAATGTGAAAAAGCAAAAGACTTAAGTCAGAACTGCAGAATGAGTCAGGCATTAGAGACCCTGTGGGTTACTTAAAGGAGGGGTCCAGCCTTTCATCTATTCAACATCCTTTCCAAGAAGTACTCAGTGTTTGAAAAGGTTTGCTCACATGGCAGAATGTGAACTAATTAGTTACTTCCTTTTTTTTTTTTTTTTCATTTTTGACAGTCCAGTGTAAAATGTGAATGTGGGTGGAATTAGACCAAGAAGTGAGGGTGAGAGGGTAGGAACCGCTATAACTGCCCTGTGTGGGCTTTGGAGTGACTCTCCTTACCAAGTAACTGCACATGTAAAAGATGGTGCTAAAATGAGCTCAAGAATAGAATTTGAATGTGTTTTTAATCCAGAAAATAACTTTCTTTGGGTAAGTGCTTTAATTAGAATGAAAAAATATTTTTTGAGACAGGGTCTTGGTAAGCCACTATGGCTGGCCTAGGACTTGCTACCTAGATTAGGATGGCCTTGAACTTTGAACAGTCCTCATAGTACTGAAGATGTGAAGGACTAATCTGGGGTACTGTGTGTATGTGTTGAAGGCTGAGCCCCGAACCTTGAATATTAGGTAAGCTCTCAACCACTGAGCAATGTCTTTAGTGCTGAAAATAAGTCTTTATGTTTACATATTCTAATAGTGTCTCTTTCCTGGTAAGTCGCTCAAGACTATAGAATGCGTACAACTTTAGATAAGTATTGTGGCTTCACGCTCCTCTTTCTTTTTGGTCAGTACAGCCAGAGTATCTCTCTTCCCAGGTTTGTAGTGTTCTGTCTTCACCCCAGGCTTTCGTACAGGTTGTTGTTGGGCACAGGCCTCGTATTGTTCTACATAGCACACAACACAGAGGCTGTTAATGGGGTTCTCATCTTTTGGATAAATTCGTAGAAGTGGGATTCTTAGTTTGGGCACCCTTGTTTCTGCTTTGACTTTTTCACATCAGAAATTCAATTAAATACTGCTAAGTGGGCATATGGCTTAGGCCAAGCAACCCATTTAATGTTAGCATATGACCTATTTGCCTTTCTTTAAGTCATGTCAGAGTAGGAAAGTTCCAGAAAGCTGAATGTGGAAGAGAGAGTTGAGCCGAGGTCCCCTTCAAGTACATCTTAGCTTGAGTTTCGTGTGGGAAGCTGAGTCCTGTGGGTTCTACCTGTTTTGGAAGGCCCTTGTAGGTATGATTTACTTCTTGTGTTTTATCTTTATTTGGTCTCTTCTGGCTAAATAATAAACAAGTAAATGTATGTCTTAGCTAAGGGGTCCAGTTTGCTGGTTTTTGCTCATCATGCTAAATGGAGATTAGCTTTTGAAACATTGCAAGTATGTAAGTGCAACAGATATAAACAAAGAGCAAGAGTTTCTGCTGTTTCTAGTTGTTGATTTCTCTGTATCATTGGGTGATACAAACATAACAATGGAAAGTATATAAAATATAAAAGCAAAGGGACTCACTTATGCACTAGATTAGGCTCATGTTTACAAACTATCAATATAGTTTGTTAGTTTCTCTGTGAATGGTTATTTATAGTGAACATTGTGGGAGAAAAGAGATAATAAAGTTAGTTCCAGGAGACCTAACACCCTTTTCTGGTCTCCTCTGGCACTAGACATGTGTATGATTCACATACATACATAGAGAGGCAAAAGACTCATCCATTTTAAATAATAAATCTTTAAAAAAATTTAATTAAGATTTATTTATGTGTGTGTTTGTGTGAGTGTATGCTGTGTGTGCGTTTGCCTGTGCCCAGTGAGGCCAGAAGAATGTGTCTCATCTTCTGGAGCTGAGGTTAGAGGTGATCCTGAGCCTCCCAACATGGGTTTGGGGAACCAAACTCTGGTTCGCTTGATGAGCAGCAGGTGCTTTTTCCCTTCCTTCCTTCCTTCCTTCCTTCCTTCCTTCCTTCCTTCCTTCCTTCCTTCCTTCCCTTTTTGAGATAGATTTTCTTTCTCTGTGTATTAGCCCTGGCTGTCCCATAATTCTCTTTGTAGACCAGGCTGGCCTCATACTCACAGAGATCTGTCCGCCTCTGCTGGGATTAAAAGTGTGCGCCACCACGCCTGCCTAGCATCAGCCACTCGTAACCACTGTGTTATTTCTCCAGTCCCCCATCTTGCTTATTTATTTGTGTGTATGCCTACTGCTCTTTTTTAAACACTCTTATTTATTTGGGGTGTTTAGGCCTCAACCTCCCTTCCAACCTCCCAAGCCTAAGCAGGAAAGAGAAGATTAGTGGGGAGAGAGGGCTACTTTATTTCTTCCAGCTGTTTAGGGTCAGTGGGTATTTTAGGGCTGTACCAATCTCTGTGAACAGCAGATGCAGCCAGCAATCTCCTCCAGGCTGCTGCACCCCGAAGTGTTTCTCTTCTGTCTGTCTGCTCCAGATCACCACACGGTCAGTCTCTAGCCTCCCCAAACTGCTACACGCCATCACCTTCTCTTTCTTGGCTCTCATATTTGCACTCTCAGAGTCCTAGATCATGCCCCTCTCTGTGCCTCTCGTGGAAGGTCGTTACCAGCTGGCAAAAGCCACACCTCACACTGGACAATTATTAACAGCTGTGGACAAACTATAGCCCAACTAAAATCCTACACTTGGGATTAAAACAGAACCGTATTTACATAACATAACCAGAACTTCCATTATATGAGTATATGCATACACGTATCTATGTAGAGGTCAGTAAATAATTTTCAGAGTTCTTCTACCATGAGTTCAGGGGTTTGAACTTAGGGCATTGGGCTTGCACTTTTATTTGCTTAGCCTTCTTGTCAGCTCCGTCCCATCTCTTTTTGCCATGGTTCCACTTGAGCCTTTGAATGTTTAGTTTTTGTTACTCTTTTCCTTTTTGTATGTATGCTCTGCCATGTGTGCATGGGCTTAGTTTTCCTTCAACTATGTCTTAACTTGAGCCTTATGCAGGAAGCCTCTATTTTGGAAGCATTCTGTTTTAGAAGGCTCTTGTAGGTAAGATTTGTGACTTCCCTTATCTTTTCTTGGTCTTTATTATCATCTGTTCTACATACACCTCTTGTTTGCCCTAAAAACTAGTCCCACTGTGTCTCAGAACACTGGAATACTGTTTGTTCTGTCTGGAGTATTCTCTAAGAGTCTGTGTGACTTGATTTTTACTCAGACTTCTTAGGCAATGTCCCTGACTAGTAGTTTAAAATACTCCCTTGATGCTGGGTGTGGTGGCTCATTCCTTTAATCCCAGCACTCAGGAGGTAGGAGGATCTGTGAGTTCAAGACCAGCCTGGCCCACTTAGTTCTAGACCATCCCGACCTATGTAGTGAAACCCTGTCTCAAAAAACAAACCACAAACATACTTGTCTTATAGTCCCTTCAGTCTTAGCATTTTCTCCATAGCATTATGTGTTTTATTTGTTAGTCCTTCCTGTCTCCTTTAAGGTATTTGTGTAGGAGGAGACTTGGTCTCTTGGCCTTTACCTTTAATAACTAAAATAGTGTCTGAAGACTGGCAGAAATGCACTGGCTATTTGAACTAACCATCATTCGGTCCTCATAGGATACTTTAAAAGTGATGTGGATAGGAGGGAGGTACAGGGGGGATACAACGTGAATAAACTGTAATTAATAAAAATAATTATAAAAAAGAGTGATGTGGATGAAGGGGGTTGTGTGAGCATACTTGAGGAGAAAGAGGAGAGCCTAGGACTGATGGCAGAGGTCAGTAAAAAGCCTGTAGGCCAGGGCTAGGATAAAGTACTAGACATAAGAAGTGGGGTAGGAAGAGAGAACAGATGCAGGAGTAGGAGCTGATGGGTATGTTTTTAAGTTACAATTACTTATCTGTATGTGTGTATGTAAGTGCTCATGCCGAGATTCACATGCCACCATGCCATGGTGTGCATATGGAGGTTAGAGGACAGTTAACAGGAGTTCTCTTCATCTGCTAATCGGTGAGTGAGAGGGAAGAAGGGCCTGGTTGGTGACGTACCTTGTTCTTTTTGAAAGAGGCTTTGATCTGTTTGTTTTGGAAAGTATCCTGGATCCATCCTGGTGTTCCATGGTACTCAGAAGACTCTCTAGGCCTAGAGGATCC